CCCCCACTAGGTAGGTTGACCATTCAGCCCTTACCTGCTTCTATCATCATCACCAAGCCCATCCTAGACCAAGAAGCACACTCCTCCGGTGATGTCTACAGTTTATTGTCACTGGAATAAATACACTGACGGGGTGCAAAGCACATCTTTCAGGAAACTTAACCTCTGAAGCCAATAAATACAAAGCTGCTTCTGCCCTGTTATATAAGATAGGCACAGGGTCCTGCAATGTGGCTGCCCTGGGATGGAGAGGAGCTGTCATTCTTCTGCTGGTTTCACTTGCTTTGCTGCCTCTAACTGGCAAAGTAGCTCATCCCACTGCACAAATTGCTTGGAGAGAAGCATTGTCTAGTCACAGGTCAAGGAGAACAGGAGTGAAGAGACGTTGTATGTGCCCCAGTGGGACAAGGAGTGGAGAATAGAGTACAGACAGACTGGTTGGGATTGGATGTGAGGCAGCGTGAGGTAGGCTTGGGGAGAGAACCTATTAGGGAGCTGGCAGAGAAGAAAGGATACGGTCTTGTTGTATTCCTCCAGGAGAGCCTTGGATTCCTCAGTAATCTCCACACACTGATCCTATAAGTCAGAGTATAACTGAGAGAGGAGTTAGGCATCTCCCCCATCTCCTACTAAACTTCCTGACCTACTCCCCACAAAGCCTAGGAAAGAGGATGCCTAAATCTAAAACAAAAGGAGCAAATTAATTGCTAAGTTGGAACTATCAGATTCTAGGACAGGCATTCTCAAAGCAGTTTAAAGAATGGTGAAAGGGGGCTGGGAATGTGGCTTAGTGGTAGAGTGCTTACCTAGCATGCATGAAGCCCTAGGTTCGATTCCTCAGTACCAGAAGTGGCACTGTGGCTAGAGTGTTAGCCTTGAGCAAAAGAAGCTCAGGGACAGTGCCCAGGCCCTGAGTTCAAGCCTCAGGACTGGCAAAAAAAAAGAAATGGTGAAAGAAGAAATGAACACATATTAAGTAAACATTCTCTCTAGTATATATCTCCTCTAGTATATATCTCCTCTGTTCCTATCTGCACCTTCTTTGACTTGAATCTACAGCCTGGAAATAGAAAAAAAAAAGTTCCTCCACTTAGAGTGAAGGACATACCACTCTTAGAAATTATTAGGTATGGGCTGGGAAGGTGGCTCAGTGGTAGAGCGCTTGCCTTGCATGCATGAAGCCCTGGGTTCGATTCCTCAGCACCACATAAGCAAAAAGAAAAAAGCCGGAAGTGATGCTGTGGCTCCAGTAGTAGAGTGCTAGCCTTGAGCTGAAGAGCTGAAGGACAGCGCCCAGGCCCAGAGTTCAGGCCCCACGACTGGACCAAAAAGAAAAAAAAAAAAAAGAATAAATCTTCAATATTCCTCTGAGTGGACAACTGAAGGACCCGAGGCTGCTCCCTCAGCTGGCAGGAATGGGGATGAGGTGCCTTACCACTTGGACCTTCTAGTCCTCTCCCTTTCCATACCTGCTGCTGGATGTGGATCTGGGCCAGGCGCTGCAAGTGCGCAGCATGCTCAGGAACGGCTGTGAAACACAACATACACACTGCCTGATGATGCTTGTGCCCTCCCCTGGGACTGCTCAATAGTCTATTAGGTCTTTGGCAGGATTAGAGTATTGAGTGGAGAAGCTAAACAAACGCAAGGCTTCATCGATTGTTGTAGCTGGAGGTGGTGGTGGTGGGGCTCTCTGCCCGCCCCATTCTTATTCCAGGACCCATAGGGGATGGGAAGAACAAGTATCAAAAAGACAACATAGGAGACCCCATTGTTGCCCCTTCTCCATACAGATGCTATAAATAGGGCCAGAAAAAAAAAAAAAGCAAAGCTTTGTCTTTCGTAGGACAGGGGTAGAGCAGAGGTGTCTGCTCTCATCCAAGCAGAGGTGAGGTCTGCCTGGTCTAGAGAGCAGAGAACCTGTAGGCAGAATGAAAGTGAATGCCAGGTCCCTAAACTAGCTACTGAGAATCTAACACTGAGAGAGCTTTGGCCACCACGTTAGAACTGTAGCTGTCAGATACTCAGTGTTTAGCTGGTCAGGGGCAGAGAAAGGAAGCTCGGGAAAATACCTCCAGAGGCAGACAAGATGGATATCTGGATTCAATTAAAGCCACTGCCTACTTGTCAAAGCTCAGGCCCAAGGACTGTCTCAGCAGTGCAGCAAGAAGTGTTCACACACCTGGCAGGGGCTCAGTCAGTAAAATCTAGACTCTACACCACCCTGAAAGGGGGATACTGAGCAGTAGGGTAGGAAGCAGAAGGAATCTGCAGAGTTGGGGGGCTTTGAGATCTAGGATCCTTAATTCTGAATTACCTGAGGTCTTGAATCAAGGCTTTCTACCATGGGAATGTTAATCCCGGTTAGGGGGTAAGTATCCCTAAAGTAGGGATAAAGAGGATGAACAGACCCAGCCTAAGCCCAGGGAAGTCAAGGCCCATCCACCCACCTCCCCAAGCACAAATAGTGGAGTTGCAGCCCCAGAGGGGTACCTTTGATGGGAGCACTGTCCAGCATGGGCACAAGGGCATCCACGTGCTCCAGGAGTGCAACCTGGGAAAGGATGAACTGCTCCTCTGAAGCATAAAAACAAGACAATGGCCTGGTCATTGCTACTTCCACGCAAGCAGTCAAGCATCTACCTAGACCCTGGAGCTTTGGGCAGCAGCCCTCTCCACTTTGTATCCCTGTAGATGTATATTTCCATCCCACCCTCTGGATGCTCCTGTTGAACCCATTTTGAGTCCAAAAAGCCTCTCGATCTCTACAAATCCCACCTTTCTCCAGGTTTTAACTCCATAGTCTCTTCTTAAAGCTGCCTATCAGCACCTCAACAAGTGCTCTTAGCCACAAGAGGAGGAGTACTTTGAACTTAGCTCCCCAACAGAAGACCTCAGGGAAGGTCTGTTAGAGGAGATCCATGGCAGACTATGCCAGGAAGGTTTTATTTTTTGTTTTTTGGTCAGTCGTGGGGCCTGAACTCTGGACCCAGGCGCTGTCCCTCAGCTCTTCAGCTCAAGATTAGCACTCTACCACTTGAGCCACGGTGCCATTTCAGGCTTTTTCTGCTTATGTGGTGCTGAGGTATCGAACCCAGGGCTTCATGCATGCAAGGTTAAGCACTCTACCACTGAGCCACCTTCCCAGCCTAGGAAGGTTTTGTGTAGTGGCTCTTAGGCACAGATAATAGGAGAGCTGGGAGAACAATGGGAGAGTAGACATGGGCTAGACTCTGTATGCTAAGGGGATTTCAATATACTGAAATCCAGTGGAATTTGTCTATTGTGGAAAATATAGTAGGGTGTCAGTGGAAAGGCATTTAAGAGTGAGGACTATTGTTGAATGGCAATTCTTCATACAACTCTTAAAGATTAATTTTTTTTAAAAAAAGAGTGAAGACTATTATGTACAAATGACAATGTAAGAATGAGGAAAAAGAATTCAACTAGCTGAATTGGAGCAGGAAGACCACAACAGGAAAAAGGGCAGGCTCAATAGGCTAGCAGGCTTTTAATGGTAGGCTAAATAATTAGGCATTTATCCTAGTTAAGAAAAGAAACACTGCCAGACACTGGTGGTGCATACTTGTAATCCTAGCTACTTAGAAAGCTGAGATCTGAGGATCGTGGCTCAAATCCAGGCCAGGCAGGAAAGTCTGTGAGGCTATTATATTATCTCCAATTAACTATCAAAATGTCAGAAGTGGAGATGTGGCTCACTAGTCTTGAGCAAAAAAGCTCAGGGACAGTGTTCAGGTCCTGAGTTCAAGCCCTAGTATTAGCACCAAAAAAAAAAAGAAGGAGGAGGAGGAGGAGAAGGAGAAGGAGAGAGAGAAAAAGAAAGAAAAAGAAAAGAGACACTGAGGTTCAAAAGTAGGCAAGTTATGGGCTGGGAAGGTGGCTCAGTGGTAGAGCGCATGCCTTGCATGCCTGAGGCCCTGGGTTCGATTCCTCAGCACCACATAAGCAAAAAGAAAAAAG